TATTCTTCATTAGAAAATACCATGATTATCACAAAATTATAGGGCTGCAAGGGATATTTTTGGGTCAAGACAGATGAAAAATTATACTGCCATCCCAGATCATCAACCTAATTTTCCTCCCTAAAATCTTCATGGTGCCTGTGGCCAGCTGGTGAGATGTGATTAGGGTAATGGGGCCCACTGTGTGGACCACCCTCCTCGGCTGTGCCTACAAGGCAGAAAGAAGTAGAAGTTACTTCACCCTGGTTAGCCTGCTGGATAAATAACATAACCGCAGCACCCAAAGGCCTAGACACTGACCTTTTTCCCCCTTCAAACGATGATCTGCCCATCATTCTGGTCTCTTTGCAATTCCATAAAAAAGTGCCTCATCCTAAGATTGCTCAAAAAGCCATTCCTAAGTTATATTAACTAAATGACTGAGCAGGAGTGATAGAGACAAACAAAATGTTATTTTTTAAAAAAGAAGTAAATAACAGACTCACAACCTGCAATTATTAAATCCCCTGAACATCCACTCTTTTCCTGCAAGACTGCAGGAATCTCATAAAAAGGCCAAGCCTGACTTGATGGAACATAAAGCTATTTATAGTCCTTATTGATCCAGCTGAGCATATGTTTTGCTGCAGACATGTTAATGTGTTTGATCTCAGACCTTGCTGAAAGTGGTGGATAATATATGCACCCTGTTCCCTTTCTAAAAGAAAGCTTTACAGTCCTGAATTCCCAAACACACCTGGCCCCAAGGGCTTCAGATAAGACATTACGGACCTGTGGTTTTAAGTCATAATCAGTGGATAAACTAAGCAGCCTGGGCTCCATCTCTGCTTCGTCTGCTGCCGTAACACAGACCGAGTGTCCTGCCTAGTGAGCAGGGGCAGCCCGGGCACAGCCGGTGAGGGTGAGCGGAGCCAGTGGGCAGTGAGACCCCATCAAGGAGGGACTGAGCTTTATCCAGCTGTTGAAACTCCCGCTATATTAAAAGATAGTAAAAGCTCTACAACAGGACACGAAACTTGTATTTAAAAATGTTTGCATTGAAACTGAAATAAACTCAGATCCGAAGAACAGACTGTTGGTTGCCAAGGGGAAGGAGGGCTGGGGGACTGGGTGAAAAGAGTGAAAGGATTAAGGAGTACAGATTGGAAGTTAGACAACGTCTCGGGGACGTAAAGTACAGCAGAGGGAATGTTGTCGGTAACAGTGGAATGGCCAGGTATGGTCCAGGTGGGTCCTAGAAAGATCGGGGGATCACTTTGTAATGTACGATTTTCTAACCACTACACTGTACACCTGAAAATAACACAAAAGAATACTGAATGTAAACTGTAGTTTAAATTCTTTTTAAATGCTTGCATTGAGTAAATTCAGCCTTTAAGATACTGACGACAAATCATTATCATAATTACGTGACCATGGCTATCGAATGGAACGCATCATTTAATTGATGGAAATATTCACTCACAGAGCCCTGAAAGCGGAGTGTCCTTATAACCGGCAGCAGTTTACAGCGGAAGATAAACGTCTTATTCCCTCTGTCCTCCACCAGTGACTGCCACTGTAACCTCAGGGGACGTGAAGTCAAAGGGCTACATTTGAAGCCCTTGAGGGATGTGACACCTGGCCCTGGTCCTCTGGAGGACCCCCTGAGAAGCCCCAGGAAGGAGAAAAGGGGGGCAGAAAAGGGGAGAGAATCTGGCCCCCTGACGAGAACTGGCAGCCGGCAGCATGGCTGCTCCACTCGGGTGTAATCAAGAACTGTCTGTACGCAATAAGGCAGAAGGAGAAAGCTCTCAAACTGTCACCGCACTGATGTTCTTCATCGAAGGTTTGGCTGATAAGTTCAGGTGGAGAATGAAGACGCCAGCACATTAGAACAGGCTAAGTTTAGCATCAAAAATCTGTGGGAGTGATGCTGACAAGGGCTGCTGAAGAGACGTCTGCTTAATTAAAATGAATTCTTTTAACCCTGATGGCTCTACTTCCCCGCTACTGCATTTGAACATCCTACAGCTAATTTATCTCATGCACTGTATTAACATAGTTATCTCAGTGTTTACGAAGGTAATAAAGAGGCATCTGTAGTCGAAAAATAAAACAAGCCTCCTTAAATCCCACAGTAAGGGATCAGATGAATACATCCCAGACTATCCACTCTGTGGAAGAACAGGCAGCTGTTAAAAACCGAGCACAGAACTATGTAGCGACATCAGGAAAGGTGATGGTGTGATGTTAAGTGGAAATCCACAGACTAAATATATTCCATGTCATGGTGTGACTGCAAATATCTTTGTTTCTCTATCTTTCTTTCTCTTTCTTTCTTTCTTTCTTTCTTTCTTTCTTTCTTTCTTTCTCTCTCTCTTTCTCTTTTAACAATCAAGTACATGGGCAAGAAAAATAATTCAACAATCTAATTTTCCAGGTGGTGGGATCTATAAGTGAATTTCCCCTTTATTTCAAAATTGTTGTTTGGACAACCAAAAGCACAAGAAGAAAAACAACATGTGTGTCTCTTAGTCCTTCAGGACTGGTCATCAACCTTGAAGTTCATAAGTGTTGGTTGGGTATTTTGGGAGGGGCCCTTATGGGTTTTTATTATTATGACTATTGTTTTGTTTGTATTATTTTTGTGTAACAATTGCACAGGGGACCCCTGAGCGAGTCTGGCTCCAAGTTACAGTCCATGTGTGGCTCAGAAATAAGGGCTGAGCAGGGAGGGGTGGAACTGGCTGAGGAAAGCCAGCGAGTTCACCTCTGAGTCAGCCCACACTGAGCTCCCACATGTCTTCCATTCAGTACCAAATGAGCCCCTCAGCCTCCCAAGGAAAACTCACCGGGCCTGGCTTGTATGGCCCTGTGATTTATGTTATTGCTAACCGTTTATATGCTAAGCACATCCTAAATTATCTGTGTATTACCCATATTAAAAGTGTCCTTTGAAAGCAGCAGGCATACCTAGGAGACACTGCCGGGCAGTTCCAAATCACCACAATAAAGTGAGTGTCATAATAAAGCAAGTAGTAATCTTTGCTGGTGGAGGGTCTTGCCTTCCATTTGTTGGGAAAGCACCATCTGTGATGGACAATAAAACAAGGTAGGTCCTCCTGAGGCTTTTGTGGTCCTCAGTGTCTCTCATGTTCCCAACCAGCTGCTGTGATGTAGGGCCTTCCCAGGGTTGGGTGTGAGGGAGTGGATTCACATTCTTTCAGTAAATGGGGACAAGAGTCGGGTCAGTGGGGGCTCAGTTAACAAAGGGAGGGAAGACAACAGGGAGATTTTTAACGATCCCAGCAGAGGCATAAAGGGATAATATTGGGCTCTGATTCTTTGCTGTCCTAGCCCACTTAGTCTATACTTTGGATTTTAAATGAGTCCCTTAGGCATGCACCCAAAGGTCTGGAGGCTTCGATTCCTCCTCCCAAAACTCAGGGACTAGAATTTTAGCCTCCCTGTGCCACGGTCCTGGCAGCCACGGTGTATTCACCGGAATCTGGAACATCTAAGCTGGGTTTCTGCTCACAGCTATTCAGGGGCCGTGGGACTTCTGACTGGTCTGTCATGATGTTGACAATGATGACCCACAGTACTCACGAGGTGAGAAAGGGGCAGATGGGAGTTTCTTAGGCTGGTTGGAAGACCACGTCAGAAAGCAAAGCGCCAGCTACCTGTCAGCCCTGAAAGACAGCTAGAAAACGGGGTCTGCCACAGAGGGGCGCTGCTACCTCCAGTTAACAAGGCTTGAGTGAGTGACAGTTGCACTGCGAGGTGCCAAAAAACCCACTTGTGGTCGCCTGAGTAACAGAACTCCAGGTTAGTAGAAATAAGCTTATTCGAAATGGCTACATATCCAGAGTAACATTAGTTCTGGAAACAAATATACTTCAGAAAACTGCTCCTCTGGCATTCACTAGCCATGGAGACCATAACATTTTGTGAAGGAACAGGAGGAAAGATTTTGTCCCCGCAGTCATTGTTAGCCGTCAACTCAGACCCTGACTCCTTTTGGGACCAAAAGATGTCCCTCACCAGCTAATCACAAAGGCCGTAGTCATGTCTCCATGCCCACCCTCCACTCCATCCCCTCCCCCCCAGGGCCACCCCACCCTCTCACTGTTCCAATCTGCTGTACGATCAAGTCACTCCTCTGCTTAAAATCTTCTGGTGGCTTCCATCACCCATAAATGGAAATCCAAGCTGCTTCCTGCTTCCCATGTGACCTCTCCTTTCCTTCCCTGCCCCCAGGCACTCCGGTGGTCTTTCTGTGGCAAAAAATTCACCAATCCCCCACCCACCCCAGCCTTGGGCTTGGCACTCACTTCCCCTTTCCTCAGCCTGCGGCTCACTCCCAGCCACTGGCTGACTGCTTCTCACGGTTTCCCTGGGTCCCCTATTCCACCGTGTTCAGTTTTTTCATCGCCTTTATTACTCTCATGAATTGTTTACATCTCTCCACAACAGAAATGGAGAAGGATTTTGTCTGCCCAGTTCAGTGCATAGCCTTAGTACCTAGAGCAGCATCTGGTGCAGAGAAAGTCCTCAGAAACTATGTGTGGAGTAAAATGAATGAACAGTTTGTGTGTGAAAATGACTCCAGTGACACCATCACTAGGAGATGGAGTTGGAGTTGACTTTCAGCGTGGGGCGCTGGGCTGGGCCGATCTACCGCCCTCTCCCTCCTCAGGGCTGCTCCTTGTTTGCCAGACTCCGGGCCAGGGCTAGGGGTGCAGTAAGAAAGAATGGGACAGAAAAATAAGAGCCACCTCACAGGGATAAAACCCAAGACAATTCCACCTGACCTTTGAACGGGCCACAAGGAAGAAATCGGGAATGTAGTTTTTAATACTGTTGTTTCTTTAAATTCTGTGTTACCCGCCAAAGCCAAATGGCCTTTCGTCAATTTCTCACACGTGGAAACAAAGTGAGCAGAGAGGAAAGGAGTGCAGCCAGCTGCTGGCCAGCGCCTTCGCTTTGGCGGGAGGGCCACCCGAGGGTGCACGTACCTGTCATGAGGAAGAGGAGGCCGGCCACGTGCTGGGTCAGGCTTTCCTCCCAGAAGAAACTGACCGTGGCCACAATGCAGCCGCAGAGCAGCACAGCCACCGCCATGCCCAGGAAGCCAGCAGTGATTCTTCTCAAATCTAGTCCGAGACACAGACAGACGTCCAAAACAACGGGCAGAGGAAGGAAAATCACGGGACATCAGAGCACAGCAAGCTTTGTGTATGTCATGAAACTCGATACGTCACAGGGACAGGCTTGGGGCCTACAAGGGCCAGGTGATGGTCCTGCTATCTTTACTTCTTCGCTTTCTTTTCCTCTCTCTTTTTTTTTTTTGAACAAAGCCAGTTTTTAGAATTGTTAGCTAAATTTCTATGACCGTTCTTAAAAAAACAGATCCCAAAGACAGGTCTGCGGCCCCTGTGCACCTGGGGGCCCAGATGGGGGCACACCCACTGCTTGACATGGGGCTGCCCTGCCGAGGTGGAGGTGTCCAGGCAGCCGCCACCTCGTCACATGTCCACGTGGCTGCCGTCCATCTTAGGGGGCCCCCGAGAGGGTGGTTTTTGATCTTACTCCTAGTCACCCATGGATAAACCATCCCTTCCCTTACAGGAAACTGTTCATTTCCAATTTAGACAATCTAAACTAAAGCAGGACATCGCTGCCTAAAGGAAGCACAGACACCGCACAGCAAGGGGCAGGAGTGGCGATCATTTAAAGGGACTGAGGTTCACAGTAAGGGTGAAAGTGGTTTCAAGACATCCACATTCTGAGCAGGGGAAATGTAATAATAGTTCAGCCACTATTTTCTGACAACCTCCTCAATTCCCTGCGGTTCGAGTTTTATTTTCTGTGACCATTCAAAGGCATCAGGTTCAGATATAATCCACATGGGACTCGCATTAACACTGGACCTGTTAAGCTTCTCTGGTAAACATGGTGCAAATCACCAAGTGTGATTTTCTTAGGCGGAGTCGTGCATGAGACTAAAGGCATCTTTCCACGCAAACTTCAAAGAGAGTTAGGAGAGAACGCTCAGACTGTCTTGCTGGGCAACGACAGAGCACAGCCTGTTAGCGTGGAGATGAGATTCTTTGTCAGGATCCTGTGATTATTTTTCTGATCTAAATAAAACCAAGGACTATGTGCTTTTCCAGGCAGATGTGGAGAACTCCAAACATGCTCAAAAAGAATTAAGACATAAAAAGGCTTAGATTAGTGTCTAACTCAGATCTGCTGAGAAGTGAACGTTAAGATCAGCCAGCAAGAAACAACTTTCAGAATGTCCTACTATTCAGAAATGAACCACATTTTAGCCAATGACTTTCCCAGTCCCAAATTTGCCAGTCATGTTTACATATTAGACTGCAGCAACAGAGCTTCCGTGTATGCATTTGAGAATCAAAACAGAGTCTTTTGATCTACCAGAGAGATTTATTCAGAAAATGAGACCCTGCTTGGTTTTCCGCCACAGTTTTGGTCACCAGACAAGATCCTCAAAGTCGCTGCTGCTTATTTCACTGCAAAATGACAATGTCCACCTCTGGGTAAACACTGAAAAGAGTTCTATCTAGTTTTTGCTTTTCTGAGTTATCCATCACCAGGCAGTATAAATCAACAGTTTCTGAGTAAATATCAGCTCTTTTAAGCATCATTGCATTGCATGATCCTTCTGGAGTTCCACATTTGCCTCACAGTGAAAAAGGGTAGCGTCTGCCTTTGAAATGCAGAGGTAACAGACATCCTCAGAGAAAATGACGGCATGCACCCATAAGAATATTTTTGCAGAAATACCAAGGTCTGAGATAGACATGGTAGCTAAAATGAATATCGTATAAACAAAAAAAAAAAAAAAAATAGGAGTACCTAAGGTATAATCTCCTTAGTTTGCTAAGACAAGTGGCAGAGCCCACCTTAGACCAGCAGGTCCTTGTACCTGGCGGCTTGGTAAAGAGAAGACTCAGGAAGCCACTTGTGTACAGATGGCACCAGGGCAGACGCGCACACCGCGCTGTCTCACAAAGCCTCATACCTGGACTTCACTCCCTTGATGCGTAGAAGAGCTGCGGCCACGGCACAGGAAAACGCCTCCCTGAGCCTCCCTCCAAGTCGAATCGGGCTCTGAAGCCCATGCATGGTCAACACAGTGTCTGTCAGGCCAAACCCGCGAAGGCAGGTGGGAATACTTTTTGTTCAGAAAGACACCATTTCCTCCCTGCCCCCTTCTCAGAAATACTCACGGAGCAGGTGCCATTCATCCTGCTGTATTGTCTTGGTTAAATTGAAAGGAATGTTTCGTAAGCGGATTGGCTGAGAGAAGTGGTACTTGATAGCTGTGCATCGTTGCGCAATACCTTGAAGGAAATAAGAAATACAATTTACTAGTCTGCATTTGCAATAGAATTATGGAGACCTGAGGCCATATAATGTATTGTAAACTGGGTGGACTGGGGGAGGGGATAGGAATCTCTTGATTATTCTCACTAATAGAGGCCAGCCAGAGCAGCAAAAACCTGAACATGAAATAACTTTTTAAAATCACATTTCATTTTTTAATGCACTAATTAATTAATTAATTTAGAGAGAGAGAGGAGAAGTGATAGAGAAAGAGAGGGAGAGAAACATCAATGTGTGGTTGCCTCTCACGTGACCCCCACTGGGGACTTGGCCTGCAACCCAGGCATATGCCCTAGACTGGGAATCAAACCGGCAACCCTTTGGTTCGCAGCCCGCACTCAATCCACTGAGCTGCACCAGCCAGGGCTGAATGTATTAAATTTGATAAGGATCTAAACTCCCCTAATTGTGTTACAACACTGAGTTTATATTAACTAAATGCAAAACTCCTGAAGGAGAAATGGCCTAGAAGTATACAGATGGTTGGGAGAAATCAGCCTGAAATATTGTTAACACAGATAAATTGCACGTGTCTGAATCTGATCCAATCTCTGACTCTCAAATGGGTTGCATCAAAAAGTTCATTAGGAAGTGTGTTTTCTGCAAACCAGAAGACATTTTTTCAGAAAGACAACCTTCTACTTGGTGCTTTAGGTGGTGATTAAGTCTCCAGACAACCCAAGAGAGTCTGTTTAACCCCAGGCTAGCTGATGTAATTCCTCAATAGAAGCTTCACTGACCTGAATTCTGGGTCCTGAGAGTAAGGGTGTTACTTACCCTCCCTTTCCTGGTTGCAAATTTTGAAACGGGCATGTGTACCCATTGCTTTATTTAATACCTTCTCCTACCCTCCCTCCCAATCTATATTTTTATTGCATAAATTAATACCAGCCTATTTCTCCTCTAAAGTCTTCTAAATCCCATAAAAGTATCTACCCTCCCTTCAAATTAAAATACGATGGTACATACTTCTTTCACTGTAAATCCTCTTGGTCAGTTGTTTGGATAAGTGCAATTTGATTAAATTAATTTTGAAGAGATGTGAGTGGATATTAATCCTTTAATCCTGGCAGCTGTTAAAAACATTCTTATACCCCAGTTGGGTGTGGCTCAGTGGATTGAGCACCAGCCTGTGAACCAAAGGGTCACTTGTTTGATTCCCAGTCAGGGCATATGCCTGGGTTGCAGGCCAGGTCCTTAGTTGGGGTGCAAGAGACAACCACACATTGATGGTTTTCTCCCTTCCTTTCTCCCTCCCTCTCCCTCTCTCTAAAAATAAATAAATAAATAAATAAATAAATAAATAAATAAATAAATAAATAAATAAATTTAAAAATCCTTATAGATGCAAATAATCTCTAATCAGTGGCGTTTCAGTAAGTATAATATTTAATATTGGACATGGAGTGTGGACGAGGGAGAAACTGTTCTCCCGGACTCACAGGGAACCAGAACAACCTGGCCCTGAAACAACCGCAGTGCCAGGGAAATGTGTGGGCCCCTTTTACATCACTGCAAATATGCTCAGGGCCCATTTCCTCCTCTGGCCCTTGCTGGGAGCAGTCCCAGTCCCAGTGGGCGGGAAGGGTAACGGGTAGGAGGTGGGCAGCCTACCCCGTGCTCTCCCCCTTCCCCAGGGGGGCCTGGCTGGTGCCAGCAATGAGGTAAGCAGTACACATATCACCACATTGCCTTTCCTTCCCCACCAGGCTCCCAGGCTAAATTTAAACTTCCAGGATCCCTGAAATGAGAAGAGAGAGGAGGTGGGGAGAGTGATAAGGTCTTCCCTGCACAGCAGTAGTAACAAGCTGTCCTCAAAGATCCCTAAGATGAGGAGACTGGTGGTGAGCCCCGAGCTCCTCAGCTGAGTCTGCAAGAAAATGTGCTCCAACCCTGGTGCTCAACTCCCTTGGAGATGATTAGAGACCTCGGGCAGAATTAGAAGAGAAGGTGGGAGTGAAGGACAGATCAGCAGCAGTGTCAGAGGCCTGCCATTCCCTTGTCTGATTTCCTTGTTCTCAAACACTCGTCCCCCTGTCACAGCAGAAGGTCTAATAGTTTCAAAGAGGAAAGTATATTATTAAGGCTGGGCTTCCTACATCATACATGGACGATTGACACAATGCAACTTGACGCAAATCACACAGGAAAAGACCAGTAGTTTCTTGATGGCTTACCAAAGCCAATTAGGTCCTTTGGATAAAACGATGAGCACACGCATGCACATGGATGGTGGTAAAGACAGAAGGTCCATGCAGTGTTACGGTGAAGAGTGATACTGTGAAAATCCACAAGGAGGCATTAGATTCAAATTTTTTCAAAGCCATGCTTGCAAACTTTGAAATTAACTGGCTTTCGGGGTTTAGAGAGCAATGAATCTGGCTGGCTCTCTGAAAAGGAACACAAAAAGCATGATCTCATAGCAGCAGATGGCATCACAATGGGGGGAGGAAACATGCAGAGGGCTGAAAGGAACAAGTTGTGGTCTATATATAGTGATTAATGAGCTTCTTCAAGGGCCGAGTAGAGCCACTTAAATGATGATATAAACCGTACAATAAGATCTATTAATATGCCGCATGGGGTTACAAACAGGGTTTATGGGCTGGTGAATTTCTACTGCTGTTGGTGCTTAAAGAGATGAATCAAATTCCAAGCTCCGTCATAGAAACCTTATTCTAGGTTAAATGAGGGGCAGATGTAAGAAACAGCAGAACATGCTGTAAAGTGTCATTAGTGCTAATCAACAATGAGGCAGTATACAAGAAGGTCTGTCCAGAAAGTATCCAGCTATGCACTATGAGAACTAGAGACATTTATTGAAGAAGATACAAGACACACAGTACATAGGACAATGACACCTCCATCCCCTTCAAAGTGTGGCATTACCTTGGCACCTCACCCAGTTCTCCCAGCATCTCTTCCACTGTTCAAAACACTGCAAAATCCTTTGTTGGAATCTCTATCAGCTGCCCTGTTGTATTTTTCTGAATCTCATCAACGGTTGAAATCTCTTCCCTTTCAAAGCTGATTTTAGTTTTTGGGAAAGTCAGAAGTCTTAGGGCACCAAATCTGGGCTGTAAGGGGTCTGAGTCACCTGGGTGATTTGATGTTTCACAAAAAACTCTGCATGAAACATGATGCATGAGCGGGCACGCTGTCATAATGAAGCCGCCAGTCACCAGTTGCCCATAGCTGCAGCCTTCTGAATTGTGCAAATGGTTTCCACAGAGGAATGTTCAAGCTTAACGCAAAATCTGGTGCCCTACTTGCTTAGTCATTTTGAATGTGACAGACTCACAGTACACATGCTTGCTCAACAGCCCTCACTGACTAGTATAGTGAAGTTTTCATTGTTCACACATGCGAATTCCAGTCCACTCTCCCTGGCTGCCAGGTCACGTCGATGTTGCACAAACCACTCTTGTTATATTAACGATGGCTGGACTTTTTCCGTACAGACCTCATATGTGGTAGTGAAAGTCCTTGCAGTCAGACAGCCTTGGGTTTAAATCCCGGCTGTGTGACTTTTGGCAAATTACTTAGCATCTCATAGCCTTGGTTCCCTCATCCGTAAAAGAAGGGGAATAATGGCAGATACTATATGGGGTTACTGTGCAGAATGAAGGACTTGGCATATAGGACGTGGCCCACTCTCAGCACTCAGTGAATGTCAGCATTCGATCCTGAGGCCTCTCTTGGCGCCTGCCCGCACTCACTGCACAGAACCACTGCCGCACTAGGAGTCCGTACCCAAAATGGGCATCACAGATGAACCCAGGTAGACACATGTAACAGCTGACTGAACAGCGGCCCAACCAATGGCTCTCGCGTTTCCTCCCCACTCTCACCCCTACAAGTTAGCTCACTGGCTCCTTGCCACTGCTCCCTCTCCCCTCCAGCCCGCCCTGCCTGCCTCTGCTTCACAAATCCACGGTCTGAGGACTCGGAGCCTCTGGAGCCTCAGTCGCCCATCTGTGATGTACAACTTGAAAACCTCGAGGATTTTACTATATCCACCTGCCCTTTACGGTATCCTTAACTCAGTATGTTTCTTTAAATTGATTACTATAAGTGGGAAATAGTTTCCTTGCCATGATGTAATTATGTATTTATTCAAATATAAAGTGCCACAGAGGAACTGCTCCATGGTGGTTCATTGAATAGTTTAGTGCTGTGCCCATGTGCCACTTCCGCACTTTGCCACACAGAAGATGGAAATGGCTCTGGTGGCCCCTGAGAGCAGTAAAGCCTGGGCTTTCATCGTCCAGCTCTGTCTGGGTCCTTTCCAAGAACACACCACTGGCTTCCCCCAGAATCAAACAGGCTCTAGGTAGCTAGCATCTATCCTTACCCTCCCCCTCGCTTCCCCCTTTCCATCACTGGCCCTGCGGTGCCCATTTCTTCCTCTACCTGCACCCCTACCTTAGAACAATCCCAAACCCATGAAACACGCAGGCCCACTGCCTTCATTCAAGAAGCCTTCCCCAAGCACAGCAGCCCAAGCCGCTCCCTCCCTCTTCTGGCTTTCTTTTGATGTTAGAGGCTGAGCCACACAATCTGGCTCTTGATTACTCGGTCTTTGTCGTTTCCCAACAGATCGAAAAGTGTGCCTCCCTGTGCATTGGCCAAGTTCCTTCAGAGTTAAGACCATGACCTTTTCCTAGGTTTGTGACAGCTAAGAGACAAACCAACAACCGTTGAGTGGCACTATAACTGAGGCTTCAGGCTCTCTAGCAAAGGAAAGGGTCAGGGAACAGGCTGTACTGTTCCCTAAGACATTTCAGAGGCCCTTGGAATTCCATACCTGACCCGCGGGAAGAAAAGCCAAGGGCTCTTCCCCCCAGCTCTGTCCGCCCACAGCCCAGTTTCAAAGGAAAGGTCAATCGTGGGGTCACGGGGCAGAGTTGCTGCCATGTTCCTGTCAGAGACGTTGAATGCCAGAGGAATCAGGTGC